GTCAACTGCTGGTCTCTTGGCCTAGTCTTTGATTATCTTGAAAGTAATAATATTCATAGCTCACAGGAGTGAATGTATCTACTTAAAAAGTTGTGTGTTATTTAAGTTTTTAAAGAATTACTTATTTAATTTTATTTATTATTATTTTTAAAATTTATTATAGGGCATATACACTCACTAGAGGGAGATAGAGAAAGAGAGAGAGAGATAAAGGGAGAAAGCAAGCTGCCAAGTCTGGGACTCAAACTACAGGTAGCCATGTGGGAATCCAATGCCCCAGCTGCCATGCCACGTGCTGGTCCCAAATTGTGTATTATTTTAGGTTATGTTCAGAGCACCTTGGAAGTTAGGTAGGAACTATTATCTTTTTTCTTTTTAAAATATTTTTGCTATAGGGCACGTGTACTTGCTGGAGAGAGACAGAAAGTGAGAAATCACCCCTCGGGAGATGGCTAGAGCCCTTGTTCTTCATTTTCCCCTTGGGATTCTGGGCATGCATGCAAAGGCACCCAGGGCTGGCACCTTGGAGTCGGCCATGGGGGGGAGGTGTCTGGTGCCTTAATCTCCATGCCACCAGCTGACCCCTACGTCCCTTTTCTGATACTTGGGTGAAAGTAAGCTACATTTTCTTCTTTTGAATCTACCTTAAAAGTGCATGGTTCTCCATAAAAATACTCATCATTTTGATGTGTAAAATACTTTGAAGCCCTTGGATGGACAGAAAACTTGAAGGGACAGAGATGTTGATGGCCATCTCAGGAAGAGTCATGTAAGGGCTGGGGGGCAGCAGGCATCACTCACAGGGAGACCAGCTGACCTGGTGGGTTTACTCCCCATGGAAGTGGGCACTGAGGGATAAAAAGCAGCTTCATTAAAATCAGCATTGGTTTTATACATACGGACACAGGATTTTGCTCCTGCCTCAGCTCCTGTGTCAGCTTCTATGAGCCATCTAGGAGCCAAACTGGTCCCATAAACCCAACTAGCATTCTCCATGCTGTCCAATCCCCACACCACACTATTCTTAGGCAGGTGTTCATCAGAAACCTATTGGGGGGAGTACAGGTTGGGCAGAAAGAATCTTTCTTTTTTCCCTTTCCTACCAATCTTTAGTGACCAAGACTTTTCTGTAACTAGGGCAGAAGAATCCTAGAATGGTTTTCTTTTCTTTTTTTTTCTTTCCTTTCCTTTCCTTTCCTTTTCTTCTTTTCTTTTCTTTTCTTTTCTTTTTTTTTCTTTTCTTTTCTTTTCTCTTTCCTTTCCTTTTCTTTTTTTGGATAAATTTTTGCTATAGGGCACATGTACTTGCCAGAAAGACAGAGAGAAACAGAGAGACAGAAAGCAAGAAATCCACGCCGCAATCCCTTCTGCTCCATTCTCCTCTCAGGATCTTGGGCACACACACATACGTGCCTGGAGTCAGTGTAAGCCACCAGGTCCGGGACTTGAACCTCAGTCGACTACACGGGAGTCCAGCGACATTAGCCTTTATGCCAACTGCTGGTCCTGAGAATGATTTTCATATACTCTTGTTAATATACCTGTTTGGTGTTATGAAATATAAAAATATTAACATACAAGTATAGATGAAATTGAACTTTGCTATTCTATTAATAAACTGTAGATGTTAAATAATTATGATATGAATTACTTATATTTTAATATTTTAAATGAAATTTGAGGCATTACAAAATTAGTTACATGTATGTAATTAAAACTATTATATATTTATTACAAAATGTTTTTACAACGCTATTCTTGGCAACAAGAAAATGCTTACCCTCACTGAAGTAAGTTGAGTACCATTTTTTGGAAATCATGTCAAGCAGAATGGTTTGATTTGTCCTACAGAACTGCCAAGTCTTTAAACTTGACCTTCCAGTCTTCGCAAATGTGTACTAGTTCTAATTGCACTTAAAAACTGGAAGCTGAAGAGGAAAGCCAATAGACTTTTGAAGTAGATAAAACTCATGTTTAATCAATAGAATTGAGAGTTCATTCTTTCCATTTGTTTTTTAAAGAC